ATTAACTGCCTTTTGTGCTCTTTAATTCAATCAGACTTCATCTCGACTTAAAAATATAAATTGCGCATTGAAAAATAAAAATATTTAAATGCTAGAATTTTTTAATTCTCACTTTTTTCAAGAAAAACTAAATTTAAAATGAAAAAAAAAAATATTAAATAATTTATTTTTAAATGAATGTAAAATTTAGGAATCCTTCGTATGAACATTTCCAATTTTAAGAAAAGGCACTTGTACCTGTGCTGAAAATTATTTTTACAAAAATAGTAATAATCGATTTTTTATCGTATTATTTAATTTACCATATAAATAAATAACCAAAATACAAATATCAGTTTAAGTTTTATGACTTATAAAATAAAAGGTGTGTCTGCCACAACTAATCTTCATTTCCCATATCTTTGACTTGTGCCTATAAGGTATCACGTTATGATAGTACCAAAATGTTTCAAAAAATGCAACAGTTTTTTGTTTTGGAACTGCAAGTGTAGATCCTAGTAGTCTATTAATCAATCTCTCAATAATTATTTGTATAATCAATATTCGATTGCAGATAAAAAAAATTTTCGTTTATCATGATAAGTGTTTTGAATTTATTTTTCAATTAAATTTTGATTGAAATTTATAAAAAAAAAATTAAGTATATGATTAAAATACATTTGAATAATATCTTATCGAGATATTGCATTGAAGCTATGGTGCGGTATAGTTCACCAACAATAACGATAAGAACTTACGAGTATTCACGAATATTTGAGTTCGAGCAGGCGAAAGCCTAGTCGCTTGGTTCAAGTCGTGTTCTCAAATAGTCGGGCAACAGCAGCAGAAACAGTAATTCGCATTCGGAGTTCACGGCTAAGTCGCTAAATAAATTTAATTGAAATCTCGTAGATACTGGTTTGCCGCCGTAATAACCCATCTGTATCTGGTGTATGTAATAAAATAAAATAAATAAATAAATTTCATTTATTCGCAATTTACAAAACAGTGTTAATATTAATCAATTATGGATAAATAATTTTTATTAAACTTGATATAACCAAAATTAATTAATCAATGAAATCGTAAATTATTATTTTGGTTTTTCTTTTGTCCAAAAAAAGTGGAATAATTATAATTTTGCATACTGTTGATGTTAATTAAAGTTTATTTAAATAAATTACTATAACAAATTAATTTGTTTATAAACATATGTTAAAGTAATAATAATAAAAATTAAAAATAAATGAATAAAAAATAAGATCTTTGCAAATTATAACTAATTAAATTACGACAAGATCATTATATTAATTACATATATAAATTTAAATACAAAATTTTTAATATATACAATAAATCGAATAAACCGTAATGATTTAAATCTATTGTGCCTTGATATAAAGAATCTAAGGGGTTTGTATATCTAAAATTTAATTGATATGACTACTAGTTAATTAAAATAGAATAAAAAACCAATCGTGCTTTGAAGTGTATGATACTTTAGTGAATATGGTTTTTGTATTTTAGATGTGTCTTTTTAAATCCTTTTTAATTTATTTGAATTTATTTAAAATAAATCTTATCACAAATGTTTGTGAATTTAAGTGGCCACCTTTGCTTTACTTTACATACCCTAATAAAAACATAATCGCATTCAAATGAGGATTAATCAGTTCTTTAATCGTGTTTGGATTATAGATATAAATCGTACTTTTTAAAAAATCATGAAAAAATTTCAATACCTTTTTATCACTACATTTTGATGAACAATTGAATTTCTGTTCATGTGATATTATATAACTAAGTTAGTGCTTCAAACTTATTACCAATTTTGAAACATTTAATTTTAATATTAAATAGACTTGTATATTTTAATAACGTTAAAGTGTTGTTCATGTAATGTATTATCTATCATTAAAATTGTGTAAATATTATTCAATATAACAAATCTTCTTTATTGGTAATCTATATTTGGTTGTTAGTGTACAAAATATATACATATATTTCTATCTAAAATGTATTTTAGATATAATGTTTTTTTTACAACTATTCGCAGTTATTTCTATTAAAAATCCAAAATAAATATTTTAATAAATATATATATAGTTTTATTAGTTAAAAGAATTTGACATCAAATAATTTGAACATTTAAGAAATAGTGAAGTATATATAAATTAAACATTCTGATTATGATTTACTAAAGTAATACATTAACAAAACCGTATTAATTATTCATTTAATTATAAAATTAACCCTTGACTTCACATAGGCATTCGGTTGATGCTGAAAAAAAGAAAAATAAAAAACTCTTGTTTAATTACGATAAAAACACGGAATAAAAATGTGAATACAATTTCTATAGATGAACTCTGTAAAATGATTTTTAATATAAAAAATAAAATTTGTTATATTGTAAATAAGGGAATTGTACCAAATAAGAAGTATTACTAAATTGTTTTTTGAACACTTTTTTTTATTGAATTGATTCTAACCAAAACTATCTCATGACTTCATCAATGTGAACCGTCAGTAAATTATTTCAAGTCGTCATATTTATATAAAATATTGCTGATATGATTAATTTCAATATGTTGATTTAATATATTAAAATCTAAAAATTATATTGGTAACCATATACTAATTATATCACATTCATTTATTTCTTATATATTTTTGTGATTTTCTTTTGGTTTTTCCTGGATAAATTGATTGTTTTGAGTAAATATATATTGATTTGTTCACTATATGCATCCAACTACATATAAAACTTTGATGTCAAAAACACATCATATATATTTGTTACAAATTAAGTATAGTGAATTTTCAGTTGGCTAAAATGCACTGATTCTGAGCTTCAAATTTGTCAGGGCACTAGTTGGATTCCTGGTACTTGCAGTCTCGAATAAATTATTTTTGAATAAATAAATATGTACAGGAACTATTTCCAAAACCAGTGATGATAGGTCATTGGCAATACTCGTAACAGCTGTATGGTCAGTCAAAAATTCAATTATTTAAACTCAAACCTGAACATAATGTTGTCATCTAATTACAAAAATGTCTTAACTTTCCTTACTAAAATAATTAAATTAGAAATTGAACATATTTTCACTTTTAAGCATACTTATATAATTTTGATATACCTATTTTTTTGTTTCGTCGTTGTGCATAGCTTTTGAATTTACATCAAAGTTTCTTGTCCTCTTGTTTTCATCAACTAAATCAGTCTTCAACTCAACACTAATGTATACATTATGTAGTAGAAAAAATTTGAATGGATTTTAAAGAATACAGTTCCTTTCGAATTTTAAAATTCTATAGAAAATAGGCAGATACTCTCATGTAGTTGTTAAAAATTTGTTTACAATATTTTACATTCGTAAAATATTCTTCATTAAAATATTTTGATATTACATATTTTAATTGATATATAAAATATTTCAGGAATTTATTTCTCACTGTAAGATCTGATTAGTTCATAATTTTCCTATTTAAAATTTTCATATTTTGTAAATAAATAACTAAAATAGTCCGATTGAGGTAATCAAAATCCTCTAATAATAATATTATGTTACGTTTATTTTTTTTTTATAATTATATTTTTTATATTTATATTTAATATATATGCATATATATATTTTACATTTTTATTATAATTTTTTTTTTATAAATTTTTTTTTATAAATTTTTTTTTTATATAATTTTGTTTTGAATTTTTGCGTTGTTACGTCGAAATCACTTTAAAATCTGTTTTATTTTTTTTTTTAACAATATTAATTTTTATTTCGAGCGTTAATTTTGTATATATTTCTATACCTATTTCGGGAAATTAACTTTTGCCTTCATCAGAAGAATTTCTAATAATAATATTATTAATAATAAATTAATAATCTTAATAATTAATAATTATTATTAATAAATACCTAAAAATAATAATATTAAGAACTTTCCTTATGAAGGCAAAAGCGAATTTGCCGAAATACGTACTGCGGTCAAAAAAAGTATTCGACATTTGATTTTATTCTTCCTCTATAACCATTAATTTTAAGCGAATATCGAATAGTTTGTGATGTGACCTGTTCTCCCAAATATTCCTTAACGTTATTATAAAAAAATTGTGGTATTTCTTTTGGAATTTTTTTTTGAATTTGGCGTACTAACCACTGCTCATCAGATTTGAAAAGTGCTTTACGCCGACCGAATGTTTGATTATTTTCGACCCATTTCGTTTTCATTTTCCATTTTTTTATAATATTATTATATGGTAGTTCTTGGTCTATTTACTATTTCACCAATTTTTTTTCACTTAATCCATTTTTATAATGTTTAATTACAAATACTTTAACACTTTTTCAGAAACTTCTGTTCCCTTACCATCCATTAAGGGAACATATTACGACTCCACTTCAGAAAACGCTTTATAATAAGGAGCCAAACGCTGCTTTCTTCATAGAAAACAATTGGAAAAATTGGATTTCCCCCTTTTTTGCTAACCAAAATTGCAGTTTATTGCATAAATGTCGAATACTTTTTTTGCTTTATTTTTAATATTCCGCAATAGAATTGCTTTTTTTGTTATTATATTTTTAAATTTTTGGAGTAAAAACAATTAAAACAAATAAACAGAATACAAATGTTTAAAATTGCATTATTTTTTTTTTTCATTTTTCTGTTTCTTTTTGTTATTATTACAACATTTAACAAAAATTTAGTTAATGTCGAATACTTTTTTTGACCGCTGTATAAAAATATACAAAAAATAAACGCTCGAAATAAAAATTAATATTCTTAAAAAAATAAAACCTATTTTTTATGTATATATTTTTTCTCATCAGTTATACTAATATTTATTATATTAACATATATATATTTATTATAAATATGTATATATACTATATTGTTCATAAAACTCAAATTTTGCATATATTTATTTATTTTTAAATTTAAATGAATTGAAATTTATCTTATCTAATAAATATTTTATTTCAATTGTCTGATGAATGTTTTCTTATCAATTGCAGATCTTTCCTCGTACTTCATACGTTTTCAAACTTAATGCTTATGCCCATTGTGATAATGATATAAATAATCAAATTTGAAGTTAATATTAAACAAAAGATTTGTGAATGGTAATCTTAACCATCGGTCGCCAATCAGCATTAAGTGCTAAAAAATTTATCAAAAAAAAAAAAACAATTAATAAAAGGCTACAACAATAATTTTTTCATATAAAGTCAAAACAAAATGGCCACTAATAGAAATAATTGTGAGACAAGCAACAATACTGCTGCTTTATTAATAAATGAATCCAAAGATGAAGTCGATTTTGTATTGACCAAGTGCAACAATATTTACAATAACAACAATATTGATAATAATACTAATTATAACGCCAATAAAGTAAGTACCAACAAAAAAGCAGACAATAGAGTTTTGTTAAATAGCGAAAATGTGCCAAAATCTGCCAAAAATTCCACACATAACATACAAAATTATGTGCCAAATACGCAAACAACAACAACAATAAACAATTCAACAAAAAATAACAACAATAAAACGAAAAGTGGTGAAAATACGGAACTAAAGAAACAAACAACAAAAGAACGTTTGTCATTATTTTCATTTAGTAGTAAAAAGAGTAATCAAAAGGCTACTGCCTTTACTACTGCAACTGTAAGACCAACACCAACAGAAAAGGAAAATGGTACACAAAACGCATCCATAAGTTGCACTCAAACAACACCAACAACTAATGTGTACAGTGAACCGCCTGTACCAATTGGCACACCACCGCGACAACACAAATTTGTCAAAAGCTCTTCAATTGCGCGTTTACTTGGCAACACTTACAATGCCAAAAAAATTGAAAAAGTTGAAAAAGAGGAGCAAAAACGACAAAACCGTGGCGATGGTGCCAAATTCAACACGTTTGGTGGACGGCGACGTAGCAACGGTGCCTACCTGGAGCGTTTCAAGAAATACGCTAAGGAAGACGGTGATGTGGTCGCAAATGGTGTCATAACATTGACAACAGACTCTCGTGATTTGTTTGGCGGTAGTCGCAATGAATTAGTAAGCGTAACGCATGTGCAGGAGGATCGCAATGAAGATTTGGGTGCCAAAGCCTTTCGTACCATTTCACGTGGTTTGGGTAAATTGTGGTTTAAACGCACACATAGCGTAGAGATCAGTTCACCAGATCCAGAGTTTAAGGTGTCTTATTTGGGCAACGTGCTTACTGGTTGGGCCAAAGGTAAGCAAAGAAAATAAATTTTTTTTACAAATATTTGAGAGTATCTATTTTCCTTTTAGGTGAAGGTTGTGTTGAGAAACAACTGAATACACTTTGGCGAAACTATACTCAAAACAATAAACCAGATGTTATTATGCGTATTAAAGTTTGTGCTTCCGGCTTAAAAGCAACCACTAGACAACATGGACTGACAGAATATTGGGCGAATCGGATTACACATTGCTGTGCACCAAAAAATTATCCACGTGTATTTTGTTGGGTATATCGGCACGAAGGACGCAAACTCAAGCATGAATTACGTTGTCATGCAGTGCTATGCAGCAAGGAGAAAGTTGTGCAAGAATTATGCAATACTCTAAAGGTAAATAAATCTTACATAAGATTGATCTACGAATAATATTTTGAATAACAATTTTATTTTGTTCTCCAGGAAAACTTAGAGAGCGCTCTACGTGAATTTAAACGTGAAAAAATTCTTAAGCAGAATGCTCGTCTCAGTCTTGCTAATGCAGCTTATGATAATCCAAGTTTGCCGCGCCGCAAAATACTTTTAAGTGTCGGTGGTAACAATTATCGGCCACCATTGGAACGTTCCAAATCTGCACCAAAGTTGATGGCGATTGAAGAAGCTATTGGTGAGGAAGATGGCGATGAGATTGAAGAGACAAATGAACCGGAAATGAAATCATGTTGTCAGAAGGATTCGCTTTACCCAGCCATGACATTAGGGCGCCGTCGCTGTCGACGTGGACACTCTATTAGACGCACAGGTAAAGTAAGATCGACATATAATGACTTGGTGGAACATGAACATGGCAGCGGCTGCTGTAAAAATACCAAAGAAATCAACACATCAACTATCACAAATGCTAATGCTAATGCTACAAGTACAACAAGTACAACAGTAAATGAACAACGT